CGCTGTATAAATATAGGTGACTGTAAGAACTAAAACCAACCAAATCCGTTTTAAAAGCGTCTGAAAGCCTGTACACCGAGCCTGAGAGAGCAGAGTTTCCTCAGCAGGACAGAAGAACACAAGCAGAGCTCAGCACTGATCTCGTGTCAGTAACTGCAGGTCTGTGCGCATGATCTGAGGCTGAGTTCGGCAGATCTCCGTGTAAAACTCTTACCGAGGCAGGCAGAAAACTCCCAGATGCGGTATTATTATGATCAGAATCATCGCGCTTCTGCTGTTTATTCGAGCGCATGTCCTTTTCTTTCAGAGTTCACTAACACGCGCGCTACGCGTTCAGGATTACTTGTGCACGTTTGTTAAAATAAGTCTGATTCGCATCGAAAGCGCGTTCCCAGCAGGGGTTTGCACTCCGCGTCCATAGCAACTAACTTTTAGTACACAGTTACGGGCACTTCCGGTGCCTGCACCATGCGCTCAAGTCATCAGTTGAACACCAGCAAAATACTAGCGGGAAACTCGGGATTTTCTGTGTTTTTGAGACCGTCTTTGGTTAACTGCAGTTTTAATGAGAAAATACTCGACTTATGAATTTACATGTTTACAAGTGAGGAACATGACGGAATATCCCCATACATTTAGGCATTTAGCAGTTTTATATACAACAAAATAATTGAATCGCTCTCACAAAATATGAAAGCATTGTAATCTAGCAATATAATAACGATAAAGTTTACGTGGCTGTTTCATGAATTAATTAAAAACATTAAAATACAAAATGATGCACAGTCTTTGTTCATTTTCTAGCAGTAGCCTAGGCTTGAGTTTAAGTCCCCCTGTGGTGTAAATCCAGCGTGTAATGTTGTTTATGTGTCTATGTGGTGTGTTTAATACGCTTTAAGACACACCATGTGTAAGTTCATAAGTCGACAGCATTGCTGAGTATTTCCTCCTTTAAACTGCAGTGAACCAAAGACAGTCTCAAAAACACGGTTTGAAATCGCTGGTGTTTCTGACGTCACAAACGACCTTGTAAACAAGAAAACAATATGTCATTTTGGTGATCAAAGATGTATTTTAAGGGTTAAATTGATTGAGTGGGACTTAACGCAAGTGGCTCGAGCGTCTTCACTGTTTATTATTTAGCTTTTCTTGAATGCCTCAAATCTGCTCTGACCTCGACTCGTTCTGGCTTTATCTCTGCTATGATTAACAAATCAAGCGACAGGCCAAAAGGATTATTCGACACAATAAACAAGCTCACCAAACCTCCATCTCATGATTCTTTCTTGAATTATATTTAGGAAAAGACAGAAGCCGTTTGTCCACCAGTGTTTCTGTTTAGTTCTTTGGGTCTAATCTTTCTGGCTAGTCTTTTCTCCGACTAATCCATCTTGTATCAATGACTTAATCCTGAAATCCAATTATTCATCCCGTTCCTGCTCCTTTTCTCCGGAAACTGCCATTCGGCACTTGTTTCTCACTTCATAAATGCCTCTCTTTCCTCGGCTTCATTTTGCCACTTAAAACTGGTGCAATTACTCAAGTTCTTAAAGTCAATAATTGTATCTCTTAAAACTCATCTTAATCACCAAAATTACATATTTAAACGGTTTTTCTTTGTCGTCATGCCTTAAAATATCTTGAATGTAACTCGACACCCTCGCCTCATTTAGTATGCGCGGTTCTATGAATATGCAAATGAGCCCCGCCTCCACTCACTCCCTCAGCTCACAGATCCACTGGTTGACGATCACACGTTGATCTGATTGGTTACAAGGTCGTTTGTGACGTCAGAAACACCAGCGATTTCAAACCGTGTTTTTGAGACTGTCTTTGGTTCACTGCAGTTTTAAGGAGGAAATACTCAGCAATGCTGTCGACTTATGAACTTACACATGGTGTGTCTTAAAGCGTATTTAACACACCACATAGACACATAAACAACATTAAACGCTGGATTTACACCACAGGGGGACTTTAAGAATCCCAACCTTGACCAAGTCAGTGTAAAATCTGTTATCTCAGTCTCTTAGATGAAAATAATCTGTTTAATCCCTTTGAAACTGGTTTTCTCCCACTTCACAGAGCTGGAACTGGCCTTGTGACGTAGTGAATGACCTATCTGCACTGATAAAAATGATTTTGTGGTGAAGTAAATACTACAGAAAAAAACAATGTAGTTTACATGAAAAAAGTTAGTTCAGGCAAGAATAAAAAAAAAAAAGTAAATTCTATAGTAGTACTCAATTCAATCGTGTAGAAATGAAAGCGTAAATATCAACATTATAAAATTAAGTAAAATTACTCAACTTTTCTGATACTGGTGTTCCCATCATGCACTGGGCCATTAATAATTAATGAGGTATATTTTTCACTGTTTTCCATATGTATTTACACTATTTTATCATTGCTTTTGTTGTTAGGAGTAGTAACTGGCCATTTTGTGACATTTGGAGTTCATTTTCTACTTAAAATGACACATTCAAACACAAAAACGATCCATCAAATGTTACCGTCATTCTGAATTGTCTACCAAGTATTGAGGTCTGCGTTCACACATTTAACTTTAGAAATGAAGATATGGTGACACACACTATATGTATTGATTACTTAAACATAGCTAAGTAAATCATAAACTTAAAGAGTATGGGCTAATTCAATGTTATATTGTTAGAGTGAAATTTTGTACAAAGAAAAGTTTGATTATATAGATATTACTTAACCTTAAATTAGCTAAATAAATTTTACTTAATTTCTTATGTTACTTTCACTTAACTTAGGTAAGTATAGTTTACTTAATTCTATGTGAAAATTACTCAAAAAATATCACAAACTTGCCTTAAAAAAATTATAGATAAGAGCAACAGCCTCGGCTCCGCCTTTAAAATCTTGGTTTTCCTCCAATCTCTCAGACAATTTTCAATGCAAAAGTGCAATTCAAAACCTCTTTGTTTTTTCGAATGTTATCATCTTAAGTAGTGTCGCATGTTAATGCATCGTGAACTAACATGAACATTTTTATTACGTAACATCAACAAAGGCGAATACATGCCGTAAAAATATATTGACTCATTCATGTTAGTTAGTGCATCAACTAAAGTTAACAAGTAAGACCTTACTGTGTAAAGTGTTGGCAAGTCACCCAGACAACAACATGTAACACAGCTGATGCTCTAAATGCGTTTAATAAATTCATAAAGCTGCTCATTAACTATATTCCCACATCTGCGTCCGCTCACAGAACCAGTGAACACATCAGATCCTCTTCATAACGTCTTACTGTAACCTCGAGAAGCTGTCAGACGACCAAATGTTACCCATTATTTTCCATTATACCACAGTATTATTCCATTATTTTGTTTGTTTGGTATAATATCTTGATATTGTCATGTTTGGATTATCCATAACATTGTACCAGTTCCTCTTTTGGTTCAGATGTGTTAATCAGTTTCATTTCACAATTACATTTTGCACTATGAAAACTATTTAAATTGTAAAATATGTATCCAGTGTTTGTTGTGCTGGCTTTAACTTACACATAATGTGATTAGTATCTATTGAGAATCATATTGTTATTGTTATCCAAAAACACTCTTAGTGGCCTTTAAATATGTGTTTTCTTCATGACAAATGCAGTTTCTTGAGTTTGGCTATAAACTATCATTATTAGAGGAGACAGTGATGTTTATTCTTAATGATCAATGAAACCATCAAAATATGAGGAACACATTTTATATGTTTATAAAAACATCAAATATGAGGGATGAACAAAACACTAAACTTGTTTTTAATAATTTATCTGACAAAATTATTTTGAAAAAAGGCAAACAGCTATAGGTTTTATTTTACCATGCAAAAAAAAAAAAAAAATGCACAGAAAAACAAAAAGCTGACATTAAAGCATATCGACTACACATTAATCAGTGATCAGCTTCTCTTGTTTTTGCATGTGTTCAGAATTTCTTTGATTATGCAATATGCTTACAAAATCTTTATTAATATCTGAGTAAAGGGCTTGGGTGAACATCACGTTTGGCCACAACTGTATATCTAAGCAACAATAAAAAACACTTAAATACTGTATAAACACAGCTCTGTCCTGAGGGAACGCTGCAGATCCGTAACCGGACGCTGATGAGCGAAACTCAGTTACTGAGAGGTTCTGAACTCTGTCATGATGCACTGACACAGCGCTGGTGGACGATAACCACATGCACATTCATAACGCAGCGATGACGTCAGCACGGTTTCCTTATCTAGAGATGCACAAGCTCGTGGCGTCCTGAGCGGGAAGGTCCTCGGGTTCAGTGTGTGTGTGTGTGTGTGTGTGTGTGTGTGTGAACACTGAGGAAGCTGTGATGCATCACCTGACCCTGAACAGATCACAGAGAGCCTGATGGACCACACGGGTCAGGAGCTCAGAGAGAGCTGAGACTGATGCAGGACCAATAGAGGAGACGGAGACAGAGAACGCTTCACTGTTACTGAGCTCTCCATACCATAATGCACCAATTTCCCAGTAAAAGCTCATATAAAGAAGAAGAAGAAAAGCACCTGAAGCGTCTTCATCTCTGTGCTTTAGTGCGGGACACACTGCAGTATCATCATCATCAGTATGCGGGACACGGCCGTGACGTCATCACCGCACTCACGACTGAAGCGCAGAACATCAATCACGGGAATGACTCACAGCACGCGTGACGTCACACTGTCACCTTAAACAACTCGAGCGGACTGAGTTGCACTATATAGGCCTATATATATATATAGGCGAGGCCTATAGTCCAACTCATATATGTTTAAATATTCATTTTAAAACAAAACAAAAAATGGGATTTTGGACTTTTTGCTAATTACTAAAATGAATTTCATGAATGTGTTTGATGCTAGGACGTTTCATTCGTCCTTCCCAACAGTAAATCCGCTGCTGTAAAGCCTATTATCCAATTATTTGCACGCCTGATAGTGGGTCGCGCGCGCGCGCTCACTCACTCTCTCGCTTCTTTCCCTAATTGCCCTCACGTGATCATTGTTTATCAATATAAATGTATCGATAAGGCGCTCGCGGCCTCTGTAAAGTAATGCGAAAGAGAAGCGAAGACATGTCCGCCGTGCTCAACGCGTTCCTGCGCTGCGTCGCGTTCCTGCTGCCGCCCTCTTGGCTCCAGTTTTGCTGGTGGGTTGGGGAGGCGTCATGGCCCAATCCCAGAGCTCGATTCAAACACACAAAGCCTCTTACATATGAGGAAGTAGCAGCTCAAGACGAGCCCGAACGCGTCGCTTCTTCCTCCTCCTCTGACCGCGCCGCGTCGCCGCGCAGATTTCTGACGCTCCGCTCCGCGGTGGAGCGCGTTGTTTCGGCCGTCTGTGATCTGCACACGCGTCTGGGGAGTTTGTGCTCGCCGTACCGCGTCGCTGTCGGTTCCCCCGCGGAGGAGGACGCGTTCACGCCCGCGATCATGAGCGTCGACACGCACCTGCGGGAGATCAGCGCTCCGGTGACCATCACTGTGGCGATCCAGGCCGCGGAGGACGAGGAGCTCCAGGAGCCCGAGGAGGAGGACGCGTCATGCGGGAACATCGAGCTCCTCACGGGCAGCGGCAGCGAGGACGAGCTCAGACACGACAAGTCCAGGTACTGACAGACAGAGACAGAGAGAGAGAGTTGTGCGTGCATGTTTAAAACGAGACCTGTCATGTGTTTGAGGAACTGACTTATTGTTGATTTCATCCTTTCATCCACGTACACACGCAAACACACACACACGCAAATACACACACACCAGCTGCACTTGCAGGGCTATAAATAGACACGCTCACAATGCTTGACCCCATAAAAGTGTCAATTTCTAATTTGATTCAGTGAGCGTGAGGGGGAGTGTGTGTGTGTGTGAGTGCGTGTGACAGAGAGTGTGTGTGTTAAAGAGAGTGAGAGAAAGTGTGTGAGAGAGAAAGAGTGTGTGTGTGTGTGTGTGTGTGTGAGAGAGAGTGCGTGTGAGAGAGAGTGAAAGTGTGTGTGTGTGAGAGAGTGTTTGAGAGAGTGCGTGTGAGAGAAAGTGTGTGTGAGAGAGTGTGTGTGTGTGTGAGTGCGTGTGACAGAGAGTGTGTGTGTTAAAGAGAGTGAGAGAAAGTGTGTGACAGAGAAAGAGTGTGTGTGTGTGTGAGAGAGAGAGTGCGTGTGAGAGAGAGTGAAAGTGTGTGTGTGTGTGAGAGAGAGTGTTTGAGAGAGTGTGTGTGAGAGAGAGTGAAAGTGTGTGTGAGAGAGTGTTTGAGAGAGAGAGTGCGTGTGTGAGTGTGTGTGTGTGAGAGAGAGAAAGTGTTTGAGTGTCTGAAAGAGTGAGTGTGAGAGAGAGTGTGTGTGTGAGCGAGTGCGTGTGAGAGAGAGTGTGGGAGAAAGAGTGTGAGAGAGAGTGTGTGTGAGCGAGTGCGTGTGAGAGAGAGTGTGGGAGAAAGAGTGTGTGTGTGAGACAGTGAGTGCGTGTGAGAGAGAGTGTGTGTGTGAGAGAGAGAGTGTGTGAGAGAGAGAGAGTGAGTGTGTGTGTGAGAGTGAGTGTGTGCGTGAGAGAGAAAGAGTGTGTGTGAGAGAAAGTGTGTGTGTGTGAGAGAGTGCGTGTGAGAGAAAGTGTGTGTGTGAGAGTGTGTGAGAGAGAGTATGTGTGAAAGAGTGTGTGAGAGAGAGAGAGAGAGTGTGTGTGTGAGAGAGTGAGTGAGTGTGTGTGTGCGTGAGAGAGAGAGAGTGTGTGAGAGAGAGTGTGCCTGTGAGAGAGAGTGTGCGTGAGAGAGAGTGTGTGTGTGATCGACACCTGTCGCTCAGGGGGTGAAAGTTGGGAGGATTCTAAGGGCCCACACACTCCTGGGGCCGCAGAGAAGGGTTATTAAAGGGATAGTTCACCCAGAAACTCCCAGTAATCACTCTCCCTCATGTCGAACCCGTGAGACCACCGTTCATCTTCGGGACACAAATGAAGATATTTCTGATGTAGTGCCTCCAGTGCCGGCGCCGTCATCGCAACTTTCAAGGTCCAGAAACGTAGTTAGAATAGTCCATGTGACTCCAGTGGCTCAACCGTAATGTTACTAATTACTAAAGAATTTTAATTGGTGGGTGCACTATCCCTTTAATGGAATGCGTGCGGTAGGGGCCGACCTCGTACTCCTCACCGGGGCCCGGATGCCTGTCGGAGGAGTGGCACCAGACCTGTTGCTGCACTGGTTCTGCTGGTTCTCCAGGACGGTCCAGTCCAGTGACCAGATCAGTGTCAGTCCCACTAAACACAGCTGCTGATATAAAGCTCACACGTGACCCTGATCCCAGACCAGTCTCGAGTCGCACGGGTGGATCTGTGGCAATACCCAACACTACACTGTATGGGTCAGAATTATCCATTTTTCTTTTATGCCAAAAATCATTAGGATATTAAGTAAAGATCGTGTTCCATGAAGATATTTCGTAAATGTCCTACCGTAAATATATAAAACATTTATTTCTGAGTGGATGCAGCACAAGCGCGAGCACAAATGCACAACTTTAAGGCGATTTTCTCAATGTTTAGATTTATTTGCACTCTCAGATTCTAGATTTTCAAATATTGTCCTATCCTAACAAACCACACATCAACGGAAAGCTTATTTATTCAGCGTTCAGATGATTCATAAATCTCAATCTCAGAAAATTGACCCATGGGACTGGTTTTGTGGTCCGGGGTCACATATATACATCAACATAATTCCTATACACATCCTGCAATAAACATTTACTGGGAATAAATTGGGTTATACACTTACAAATAATCTGAGAATGGCCAAATATTGGGTTATGAATCCGTCTAGATCAGAGGTTTTCAATCTTTTAGACCCCAAAATATGATCCTCCTGATCTTTTAAAAAGCCATATTTCTCAATTTATACAAATTTATATTGATATGCTAGACCAATGTAAAATATTATTTGAAAAATATTTAGTATCTATTATTAGCTTGTGTACTTTTCTCTACGCACTATAGCACTGTACTGTGGTATTTATTTAAATTTATTTTATAATATCGTATAATGTTTTTTTTAAATCTTTTACACTGGTTTCCACAGACCCCACCAATACATAAAATATTTATATATATTAATATTTTGTTATATACTTTAATTTTTTTAAAACATTTCTTTACGCTTTTCCAGGGACCCCAGCACTTACTTGCGGCCCCAGGTTTATTTATTTATCTTAATAAATAAAAATTTATTGTATACTTAATTTGTATTAATATTTTTCCTTTCTAAGCTCTTCCTTATGCCCCCCATGGTTATATTTGTTTATTTTAATAATCTATAATTTATTTAATTTTATTATTTATATTTCCTGCTAGCTCTTCCTTTAAACCCCCTTGTTTAAAAAACATATGCTGTTTTCCATGGGCCCCAGTAATACATAATTATTTATACAAATTAAATAAGTATATATTAAATTAAGAAATGATTTGCACTTATTTTCTGAGCTTTTCCAGGGACCCCAGGACTTGTGGCCCCCTGGTTTATTTATTTATCCTAATTTTTTTATTGTATACTTAATTTGTATTAACTGTTTTTTAATACATTTCTTGAATAATTATTCAGAATTCTATTATTTATATATATATTTTATTTATTAAAAAGATTCCTTGAAAGCCTGGTCTAGATCACGAATGCACTCGGTGACCGCGGCAAACGCCGACCCACGTCTCCCTCATGACCTATGGAGCCGTTTTCCCACTCGCGTGTGTGTGTGTGTGTGTGTGTGTGTGAAGCGCTGATGCTCTATTGTCCCTCAGCGTCCGTGGGCGGGTCATGACGGCTCTCTCTGTGCTTGAAGGGTTTCCCGCCCCGCTCGAGTGTCTCTTCAGGAGCGCGTGTTTAAACGCGGAGTGACTCATCGGTTGAATGTTTCCTGAAGGTTACTCGCAGCGATGGAAAGGTAACCTCACCGCAGCTTTAGAAGAGCCGGTTTGTTTTCCTCTGGTCAGCATGTGTTGAGCGTTCAGATGGAGAGGTCTCGTGGGCAGCGACTTGTGATGCTCGTGTTTTTGCACAGGCTGTTGGATTGTGGGGGAAAGAGAGATTTGAGGGGGGATGATGGGAAACAGACGGGCTCCCTGCTGCTGCTGATGATGATGGACGTGTGTGTGTGTGTGTGTGTGTCAGTGGCGCCGGGACCAGCGGTGGCGAGCTGGAGGAGGAGAGCTGGCAGCCTCCGGACCCGGAGCTGATCCACAAACTGGTGGTGCAGATCGAGTTTTATCTGTCGGATGAGAATCTGGAGCACGACGCGTTCCTGCTCAAACACGTGCGGCGCAACAAGCTGGGCTTCGTCAGCGTGAAGCTGCTCACCTCCTTCAAGAAGGTACGATCCAGATCTTAAAGTCCCCATCTAATCAATCATTCTATCCCTAAAACTCACCAAAATGACTCCTCAAATTCATGCCTTGAAATATCTTAAATGTTACTCGCCTCATTTAGTATGCGTGGCTCTATGAATATGCAAATGAGCCCCGCCTCCACTCACTCCCTCAGCTCAGAGATCCACTGGTTGACGATCACACGTTGATCTGATTGGTTACAAGGTCGTTTGTGACGTCAGAAACACCAGCGATTTCAAACCGTGTTTTTGAGACTGTCTTTGGTTCACTGCAGTTTTAAGCAGAAAATACTCAGCAATGCTGTCGACTTATGAACTTACACATGGTGTGTCTTAAAGCGTATTAAACACACCACATAGACACATAAACAACATTAAAAACTTGACTTTCACCACAGCGGGACCTTAATATTTCCATAGACCCTTTTCACATTTGCGTGGTTCTCGTAACTTCTATAGTGGTGAACGGGAAACTACAACAAATCATTTGTGTGTTCCCATTTGCCCCAATAGCAAAATAAAAAAATCCCTGATAGTTTCTATGACTTTCTAGAAAAAAAAATAGAGATTGATTACATTGTTCAGATGTCAAACTCGTCGTCACTTCTTTTTAGCAAAAAATTATGTTCTTCCTCTGTGTTTCTGCTTGTTTTCCAGCAGAAATATCTAAATATTCTTAAATCAAGGTAGATTTACTGGAGAAGCGACATGACTGAAGATATTAAGTCTTGTTTACTGAAAAATGCATCAAAAGGAAGCAAGTTTGTGCTTAAAAAAAGAACTAATATCTGCCAAAGGGGTCAGAAAAATTCTCTCGTTTCCATTTCCACTCCATTGGCAGATATTAGTTCTTGTTTTAAGCACAAACTCACTTCATTTTGAATGTCTCATAAAACAAGACTTAATATCTTCAGTCATTCTGCTTCTCCAGTAAATGTGTCTTGATTTAAGAATGTTTATTTGTGCTGGAAAACAAAACGGTGTCAACTCTGATAACAAGGTAAGAAAACAAAGTATAGTGTTTTTAATATGAAGCCTCAAATGTCCAAAAGAAAATGTCAGACAGACTGATCTCGAGTCAGTACCAATACAATACCTGTAAAAAAAAAGATGAATAATAGTGAAAAGGCTCCATTCGTCCACATGCGGTTCTTGATCGTAGGCCATTCAGTGTCAATGTCTGTGTTTCATGTCATTCCACCTCAAAGTACAGGTTTAAATAAGCTTGATGAAGACATTAGTGTTTGACATTAGCGTTTCACCATCAGAATGTGCGTCAAATCAGTGAAAGCAGCAGGAGATGCAATATAATAATTCAGTGCATGATAATTACTTTCAAGGACCATTAAAAGCATTTGTGTTTCCCCGTGCTGACATTATTTCAACATTTTGAAAAGCCTGTTCCTTTTTTAACAACAGCCCAACAAAACCATCGTTTCCTTTGTGTTATTCTCATTCAGTTTCTTTAAAGGTGTTTCAACACACTTCAATGCAGAGATCTGAGTCATGAGTCGAACCAACCCGCTCACGGATGAATCACAAACTCAGAGGCAGAAAGGATTTGAAAACAAGCTCACTTAAACAGTTTGACAAGGGAATCCCATGAAGCACTGAGAACGACAATCCAATCGGAAACGATATAAAGCTGCTGCTTTAGTCACGGATTATGAAGCACAGAAACGACATACTGTGAGATTTACACAAATAGTAATAGTTTAAGTGTGTATTTGGAGATTACGTCATTCGCAATGCTTCATCCGTCCCTGCTTAACTCTTGCCAATATTTTCATTTCCATGGTAACGGTGGCTTTTGATTGGAGGATCTCTCGTCAGGATTACGGGTAGATCATTCTTCACCAGGAATTTGGCTATTAAACAATTTGATAAAAATGCTGAAATCACACCGACTCGTGCAAATGTTGCTCTTTTTTTGATTCATGTACATTTTAACTTGTGCTCACACATATACAGTTTACAAATGCAAACAAGTGAACAGATATGATTAGTAGTTTCCAGGTCACGAGGTCTTTAAAGTCGCCCTGTGGTGTAAATCCAGCTTTTAATGTTGTTTATGTGTCTATGTGGTGTGTTTAATCTGCTTTAAGACACACCATGTGTAAGTTCATAAGTCGACAGCATTGCTGAGTATTTTCTGCTTAAAACTGCAGTGAACCAAAGACAGTCTCAAAAACACGGTTTGAAATCTCTGGTGTTTCTGACGTCACAAACGACCTTGTAACCAATCAGATCAACGTGTGATCGTCAACCAGTGGCTCTCTGAGCTGAGGGAGTGAGTGGAGGCGGGGCTCATTTGCATATTCATAGAACCACGGATACTAAATGAGGCGAGGGTGTCGAGTTACATCTAAGATATTTCAAGGCATGAAGACATTTTTTTTTTCAAGGGAAAAAACTTTATCATTTTGGTGATTAAGATGAGTTTTAAGGGATAAAATGATTGACTACAGGGGGACTTTAAGTCATTTTGCTTAAGTAAATGTACTGTTATTTAAAGAGGAACTATATGCCCTTTTACAGTCGTGATGTAGTTTCAGGCTCTACTAGAACAGGTTTTCCTGCTTGAATGTTGATTATTCTCCTCATATTCTCCATTGTTGCGGCTCCTCTCTTCCCAGTCTGTCAGTAACGCTCTGTTTACTTCCTGTCTCTATGAAGCCCCTCCTCCTGAAAAGCACACTAATTTTAGTAATTAAAGATAAGTTTTAAGGATAAAATTGATTACAGGGGGGACTTTAACATGATTGATGGTCATACCTGAACCATCACTGAACTTACTTAAGCTGGACTGTGACGCTATTCTCTTCTAGAAATAAACTTTGTTGCATTATTATCCTGTTACCTCTGTAAAGCTGCTTTGAATGATTTGTAAAAAGCGCTATGTAAGGGGCTTTCGCACCGGGTAGTTATAGGCACTAGACACCAGTGTGGTTCACCGAGAACTAATGGTCCCATAGGAACGTTTCCTGGTTTGCGTTCACATTCTCCTGTTCATTAGTTTATGATCTGTCTAACAGTCCTGTCGAATACATTATTAGATTGAACTGTTATACACAGAAAGTAGACGGTAATGAACAGTTATTAGCGTATGGCGTGTGTTGATGCCCAGTGTTGCTGAGCAGAAATACATCATGTTTCTCTCGGTCCCTCAGAGTTGCGTTGGAATTTCTCCTCAGTGTAAAGATTAAGAGGCTCATCTATCTCTGTTTTACATGTTCGTAGAGTTAGTTTGTGGAGTAAATATATAGGCTATAATCTGTGTTTACACAGCTTTTTAATGATGGCGGGTGCTGGTGTTTCGCGTGCGTTCGGCCAATCAGAGAACACTAAAGTCACTGTAGTTCCTATAGCGCTGGGTTAGACCGACTCTGGAGGAGTAAATTAGTAAAGGAGTTCCTAGAGCTAAAATCGCTCCTAGTTCCTGCGGTGCGAACAAACATGCCAACATCCGCCAATAGTTCTAGGAACTATGAAAAGGCTCCTCCGGTGCGAAAGCCCCTATAAATAAAGGTGACTTGACCTGAAGAATGTTGAACATGTCTCTCTCTCTCTCTCTCTCAGGTCAAGCACTTGACGCGGGACTGGAGAACCACGGCGTACGCCTTGCGTCACTCAAGCCTGCTGGAGCTGAACGAAGAGGGCCGGAAGGTGCGGCGCAGGTCAACCGTGCCGGTTTTCGCCAGCGAGTCTTTACCGAGTCGGATGCTGTTGCTCAGCGAACTGAAGCGTTGGCCGGAGCTCGACGTAGCGTTCGGAGGAGACGCCGGTAACGGAGGCCCGACCCAACAGGAGCGGCTCATGGAGCTTCTTCTGAAGGCGTTTGGAAACTACGGGCCGATCGCCTCGGTGCGGGTCCTCAAACCCGGGAAGGACTTGCCGGCGGATCTGAAGAAGCTGAGTGGGCGTTATTCCCAACTGGGAACGGAAGAGTGCGCAATCGTAGAGTTCGAAGAAGTGGAGGCGGCGATGAAAGCCCACGAGGCGTTCGGCATAGACGGAGGAATGAAAGTGGTTCTGATCGGCACCAAACCTCCGAAGAAAAAGGTCCAGAAAGACCGGCAACGAGATGAAGGCGGCCTGCGTAAAAGTCGCTCGCTCAACAGTCGCGTGCGAGAGCTTCAGTATCTCGGAGGCGACGACTCCGCCGCTAGCTCTTCGGAAACGGAAAGCAATCCTACATCGCCTCGTTTATCACGCAAGTCGCGTTCCTGCAACAAGCTCAGTCCGACAAGCGCCGGTCCGAATCATCTCAGCCCGGTTGTTTCGCCGCGCTCGAGTCCGTGGAGCAGCCCACGCGCAAGCCCGTGTTCCCAACGGAAAACGCACCACTCTGGGAAGTCTCCGCTAGCTAGCGAGGGTCGTTTGAGTCCGGAACCGGGCCGGCGTTGGGCGGACTATTCCTCGGATAGCAGCTTGACGCCGTCGGGAAGCCCGTGGGTCCAGCGGCGCAAGCAAGTGGCGAGCCAGGAGAGTAGCCCGGTGGGAAGCCCGATGCTAGGCCGGAAGATCCAGAACGCCGACGGGCTTCCCCCGGGAGTGGTCCGGCTCCCGAGAGGTCCAGACGGGACTCGAGGCTTCCACTGTCCTGGACCCGGGAAATCTGCGTCCACGCAAACCTGAAGACTCCTGTCGTCAACTCTCACACTCTCTCAACTCAACGCATCTCTGTAGGACTTTTGTAAAACCTTTTTCTATGCTATTTTTGTTAACGTTTTATACATCTTAATTTAACTGATTTCCTCATTGAATGATGGCATCACGACAAAGGGAAGCCGTTCTGAAAGTATTTAAGTTTTTAAAAATCGCCTCCGTATTTTTCCCCGGTGTTGGTTCTGATCTCGGTAACACCACCATTTGCCTTTTCTGATGATGCCGTGGACGTAATCTCCTGGGATAACCCCCCCACCCCCAACCCCCCCGGCGCTGGAAATCCCTGAAGGAATATATTTGCTTTATCTTCTGTTTTGTTTCTGCCTTTAAACGTGCTTCTCATTTTAGTGATTTATGGATCTCTTTTTTCTTTTCCTTTCCTCTGTTCTTGGGTTCGAGTCCTCTCTGCTTCCTCGCAGTGAAAGAGTGTTTGAGGTTTCTGTCCTGAGCACTAATGCCTCGTATCTGCCTTCATCTGAGTGAAGGCATCGCACAGTCTGCTTCCGTACTGTACAAATAAATCACTACAATCGCAGCTATCTGGGGTATTGCTCATTTCTTTGGATCCAATATTCTCTTGCTTCTGGCGGTTTTGTTTTGCATTTCAATTCGCTGTAGTGTTCGGTTATGTAAATCAGGGGTTCTCTACTGCTTTCCCATTCAGATTTAACTCTGAACACTTTCTGTGCATATTTTGTACGATAAACAATTACGACCGATCAATGTTCACTTACAATGCATGTTACAGTCAAGCCAAAATGTATTCACACACCAACATTTCTCACATATCAGTTTATTCGCTGTAGTTTAGATGGAAAACGGTAATAAAATATAACCATAACTCACTGGTTTTGTCCGTCCTTCTGTTAGACTCTCACACATGAATTATGTTGAATATCTGTCAGCTGTTAAATTGAACTACACACTTAGATAATACCAGTTTAGCTCAACCAGTGACCAAGCAATGCTTCATGTTGTTCAGTGTGTGTGTAAAAAGAGCATTAGCGATTACAGAAAACATAATCAGCTCAAAGTGGCCGGATAATATTTAGTCCACTGTATGAAGAATATTTGGGTATAATAAGTCAGTTTACGTTATTTTACTTTCCTCGCTTACATAAATGATCTATAGTGTCCTGCACACACTAGTGAAAATAATATCAAATATCTGGTGTCTGAATAACTTTTGGTCTGACTGTATAATAATGCATTCATAAATAATTGCAACCAAAGTTCAAATGCATTTTAATATTTAAAGATTTCTTGCATCTGAAGTTGGTTTGTCATGTGTTTTAATGCACTGTTCAATGAATGTTCAATGAACTGTGGTCATGAGATCATACAATAAGGCATAATTAATGCAATACATATAAAGGCTTAATTTTTCAATGAACTGCATAGGCCCGGCGACAATAAGCATGACTGATGGAGGACAAATGATAGTGACAGTTATGTAAATGCATTAACAGTCGTGCCATTTACAGCCTAACACTTTGAACAAACACTAGGCTAAATATTGTGTTCGCATCAGCCATATTACCAAGTGTCGGATTAATTTGTGCCTAGAGTTTGACATTAACAAACACTTCCAGATTCAGGAGCATTTCCTCTATGCATGCTGTTGTACGATGCGTTGTGTTCACCCCTGTTGAGACGCAGATAATGCCTGGTCTCTCAGAGTCTGAGAAGGGCAGCTGCATTGCTCTTCTAATAGTAATGTGATGTTTTGAGTTAATGATCACGTAAAATCCATCAGAACGGATGATTTCACTTCACTAGATTGCAGCCGAATCTGCGGTAAAGGTGACCATTTGGTCCCATTTCCTCAAGATAGTTTTATTTGACACAGCATGACATGGTAATGTTTCTAAGCAACTGCCTGATCTCCACAGGAAAGCACAGTATATTTCAGTTCAGTCAGATGAATTTCTGCAGGTCATCTGAGTTCAGGCCTGAGCCGGATTTTACCTGAACAGAGTCTCTTCAAAAGGATGTTTGCATGCAGCCAGTAGTATACGATAATTTGCATTAATATCAGTAAATGAGTGTGCTTTTATCTGCATCATACTAGGCTCAATAAGCATTGTCAATTATAGTTCATTTTCTGGTAGAACGAAATATCTGGATGTCCAATTAAATTGGCAACAACATCTTTTGGCCAGATTGTCCATTGAGCATGAAATCCGTCTCATGGTTTCCACATCACAAATGAATCCATCTCAGTAATGGCTTCAGTAGAAAGCCTGTATCATTTAAATCTTGTGATTTGTACAATTATATCCAGCCCCCAACTAAAGCAATGATGCCAAGCCATTTTCTGAATTCTGTGGCTCATAGTCATAACTAATATGTTGCCAATTTAATACACTCCTACATGCACACACTCCCTCTATCTACTCAAGTATAAAGTCACTTTCCAGAACCTTCACCCTCTCGTTCCTCCAACACTTAACTAACCAATACACATTACACATCCATTGACAAAGACGCAACTCAATATGAAAATCGTGTTCTCTTTCTCTGTTTTTCTGCTTCTCTTCCAGCTCTTTTGACTCATTTTGTAGCTTATACTTTAATCTAGCCATTTTTAAGTCATTATACAAACCACTATATAGTACTGTACCACTGTCTGTTTTTATAAAGGAACTCCCTACGTGTGTGCTTCATCCTCACAAAACTCTTCATCTCGCACAGCTGTTTCATTCTTAGAAAGTAAAATCGGTAAAATATCTCAATACAAGCGTTTCAGTCAATGTTCTTAAACCAGCGCGGGAAAAATCAACCCGCGACAACGTTTAAAAGTCGCCAAATTACGCGGGAAAACAGCGGTCATGCTCGGTGTAACGGATTATCGCTAAAGAAAAATAAATAAATAGGGCGGGGACTTGTTTCTGTCGGTTGTTGATTGGATGTTGACGTGTTCTGAGACTCGCGCTTAAAACTGCACATGCGCATTGGCTGGTCAAGCCTGAAAAATAGGCTTTTTTAATGTTAGTTGAGCATAAGTAACAACATTTATGGGACGATTCATGTTAGTTTTTGTTGCTGTGAATGTGTACAGTATTCTCTTATTAATACATTAGCATAGCCTACTGCATTTCTTCAGAATGCACAATGTGCTGTAATTGAATGTGCTTGTGCATGAAACAAAAGAGACAGAATTTACATGATCCCTTTTAATATCTAACATATTGTACTGCTGTTTAGTAAGAATTTGGCAGTATGTAGTCACAGTATACGTGCTTTATAAAGTGGGAACAGAAGCTCTGGATGTAACGGACTAACAACACAAATGTGGGTCAAAATATGAACAGAAGAAAGAAGTACTTACATTTGGTCACGATGACAGAGGATTGTGTGTTCCTGAGAGAAAGAAAGATGTTTGTTCAGACTGGAACTGGATTTCAATAGATCTCAAACATCATGTTCTTAAAAATGGCCATTTAATGATCATTCAAAGAGGAAAAGAACATTTTTACATTCCACAAATATTTGGAACGGTTTAACTAGAACTAGTGCTGATAGTGACGTGATAAACCTCTAACAGTGAGTATTAAATCTGCAAAAATACTTTTTTTACTCAGTGTTTCCTAGTACAAATATCATTCGTAAATTAAGCTCCGTACTGGAAAACAAGACAAAAACACTGAGGAAAAACATCTTTTTTTTGTTGCAGTTTGAGCTAAAGTTTTACCTGCTGGATCAGAAAACATGTGAACAAATCCCACAGATGCACATTAAATAACACATAGAGACACTTACCAGAGAAGCTGAACAGGTGCTTTTGGTTAAGGGTGCAACTACTTTAATATTTCATCTACATTTGGTAAGTAGTCCTGTAGTGATGTCCCGTCTTTCAAACTAAATAAAAAGTCTACAAAAGTGCATATGTGAAGTCCGTGGAGCTCAAACACAACAGTTTTGGTGTTAAAGGTCAAAGGTCGATTCCCAAGGAAGGCATGAACTGAGTAAACGTGGACCATTCCTGCAAGTCATTGTGGATAAAAGCATCAGGCAGATAAATCAATATGTGGCACCATCGACCAATCAGAAACAGCGATTCCAGGAAACGTGGTTTTCATCCAGCGCTCAATGTTTCTTCCATTAAACATTCGTCGTCTTTCACACTCGTGGACAGAAAACATCCACACACACATTTAACTGTTTATTTTATTGCTCTTGATCTATCAGCGTCTGTAGATTTCAGTCTCAGTCTTTAAAGGCGGAGAGTTTGAGTCAGAGAGCTCCACTTCTGCAGCTTTACACACTTTTATTCATATCTATGTTCTTCATAAATCATTCACCTGCTTTATACAATATTTCATTCCGACAAACATGGAGAAAATTTACGTTTTCCGTCAGTATTTTCTGATTTATATCCAGAATCCCCTCTGGAAAAACCTTTAAACAAAATCACACTGATTTTGTATGCAAATAAGTGCATATTTAATTAGCTAACACCTCATTTGCATATCCACAACATTTCAGAAAAGTTTGCAATTCTTCTAATCAATCAAATGTAGAATGACAGTGATGACTTGATTCACAGGGAGTGTGTTGCCTTGAATCTGAGAGGAATATTGTTACACAAAACCAAACACAGGTGAGAATCATCAACCTAACAGTGTTTATTCAGAAATCAACATTCAGCACAGAGAATCACTCATATTTACACTTATATTTACACATGCACCGACACAGATGAGTTTAGATACATATTGTACATATTTGACCATCTTCTGCGTCCTCGGCCCAGAGCAGTGTGTGTGAGAGACAGCGAGTGAGTGTGTGTGTGTGTTTGAGTGTGAGTGACAGGGAGCGAGTGAGGGTGTGTGCGTGCGTCAAGTGTGTGTGTGTGTGAGAGAGTGTGTGGGTGTGAGTGAGTGAGAGAGTGTGTGTGTGTGTGTGCATGTGTGTGTGCATGTGTGTTTGTTTGTGAGAGTAAAGGGTATATGCGTGCGTAGAGTGTGTGTGTGTGTGTGTGTGTGCATTAGTGTGCTTGCGAGCGAGCTTTAAGTGTGTGTGTGTGTATTAGTGTGCGTGCGAGCGAGCTTTAAGTGTGTGTGTGTGTGTGTGTGTGCATTAGTGTGCGTGCGAGCGAGCTTTAAGTGTGTGTGTGTGTGTGTGTGTGTGTGTGTGTCTGGGTGTGACGAGCAGCTGAAGGCAGGAACACACTCAGAGCAGATGGGAATCTGCCACAGTGGGAGTTTGGATGGAGACGCGTGCGAATCGGGTTGTAAATCTGGGAAGTAGGAGTTGCAGTAACAGCGTCAGGAACCGTGTGTGTGTGTGTGTGTGTGTGTGAGTCAAGAACAGCGTTGAGAACTGTCAGATGTACAGCGACCCGTCGGCCGGCCCCACGTACCCGACCCCGATCAGCAGAACATCGATGAGGGTCCAGATGCCCAGACCACCGAAGCTGAAGAGTTTCCCCAGACCTTCCCTCCACTGACCCAGATAGAAGCGGTCCGCACCGAAGCCGCCCAGAGTGATGCTGCACACACACACACACACACACACATACACACAAGTTCAACAAAGTTCCCCTGTCCATCATACTAACACCGATTACACTGAATCGAAGGAATGAAACGAGTGTGAAGTGACTCACCTGAGGGCGAGAGCCGTGGACCACTTATATCCTCCAGTCCAGTTACAGAACACACGCTTCTGAAACACTCGCTTCCCTGTGCACAACACACACACACACACACACACATTAGTCTTAGTGTATCAGTGTGTGTGTGTGTGTGTGTGTGTGTGTGTGTGTGTGTGTGTGATGGGCAGGTTTAGGGGTCGGGTTAGTGTAAGGGGACAGAATATACAGTTTGTACAGTATAAAAACCATTACGTCTGTGTAAGTGTGTGTGTGTGTGTGTGTGTATACCCAGGCAGTGCACGTGCTCCAGCACGGCGCAGGAGGAGTTGTAGCGTGTGCGCGGACAGGACACTGTCTGACAGCTGGTGGAGTTTGAGCATCGGTACTGAGACGAGTCGAGCTGCCAGCAGAAGAGACACGGCAGCGCCAGCGAGAAGTTCTGCTGAGGCTCGTTACGCTCGTTCTGGGACACACACACACACACACACAGTGTTACGCTCGTTCTGGAACGAACACACACACACAGTGTTACGCTCGTTCTGGAACACACACACAGTGTTACGCTCCTTCTAGAACACACACACACACACACACACACACAGTGTTACGCTCGTTCTGGAACACACACACACACAGTGTTACGCTCGTTCTGGAACACACACACACACACACACAGTGTTACGCTCGTTCTGGAACACACACACACACACACACACACACAGTGTTACGCTCCTTCTAGAACACACACACACACACACACACACACACAGTGTTACGCTCGTTCGGGAACCAGCTAAAAAGTTTATTTTAAACAGATAGTTCACTTACTGTACTTAAAGCAGGGGTCTCAAACTCAACTTAACTGGGGGCCGCTTGAGGTAGAGTCGGGGTCAGGCTGGGCCACATCAAGTATTCCACAAAAAATAGTATTCAAGTATTCCAAAAAAGGAGCACAACTGATCCAATCTTCTCAATATTTATTATTAACGTTTCTTCTGAACTGTTCCTCTGAATTTGAACATTCCTTTCTGTACATGATTGGTTCTTCATGAGCTGTCCTTCTGACAGTTGAAGTTCATTTCACAAACTTTCTTTGTCTATAACACATATTTGTGATATTTATATTTGCTTATGTCCTTTTTATTTTCTCTATACAACACATTAATGATATTGAATGTTTTTTTTGGAAGGCACATTTCCTTTTATTATACTTAGAAAAACAATTATTGCTTTTGAAATACAAATATTTGCAGTCATGTCTGCCCGTCTTATTGAATTGTTTCTACACATGTAGCTGCTATAGTGTCTCAAATTACTGACTGCACAAATCAGAGCAAACCTTCTTATCAACCTGTTGGACACATATTACAAGCTCAAAGTGATTATTCCCACATTGTTTTAGGGTCTCTCTCCAACACGTCGCTCGCGAGCTACCAGTAGCTCTGGCCTGATTGGTGGTAGCTCGCCAAGGGGCCGTTCACATATCGCGCTCACATATTTTGCGCGCTCAAGTTCGTTATTTCAAATGTAGGCACGCGGTAAGCGCGCTCATAATTGAAGCGACGCGCTCATTTTTTCCAGGCGCAGTATGTTTGTACTTCGCGGTTGTCTATGACAACTATTGACAACAAACCCACCGTAAGCTGTCACGAGACTATCTATGGTAGCCCATAAGGGATAAAAAAAAAAAAAAACTCGGCACACGCAATGACGGGCCGCACTAACATTAAAATTTAATGTCAAGTAGGGGGCCACAAAATATCACCCCGCGGGCCGCAAATGGCCCGCGGGCCGCGAGTTTGAGACCACTGACTTAAAGTAACAGAAGATGTTGTGTATATTAGTAGGGCTGCCGCTATAGTGCACTAGCCGGGAGTCGACTAGACGAAGCCAACTAACATTTTATAGGTTGTTTAGTCGCAGAAAAAAACTCCACAGGAAGTGGTGCAATAACACAGGCTTGTGACGGACAGATCGTTAACAGCAGGAAATACAATCATTCATCGACCTCAAATATGTTTCTGCCGGATGTGAATGTTTCTGCCGGATGTGAATGTTTCTGCCGGATGTGAATGTTTCTGCCGGATGTGAATGTTTCTGCCGGATGTGAATGTTTCTGCCGGATGTGAATGTTTCTGCCGGATGTGAATGTTTCTGCCGGATGTGAATGTTTCTGCCGGATGTGAATGTTTCTGCCGGATGTGAATGTTTCTGACGGATGTGAATGTTTCTGCCGGATGTGAATGTTTCTGCCGGATGTGAATGTTTCTGCCGGATGTGAATGTTTCTGCCGGATGTGAATGTTTCTGACGGATGTGAATGTTTCTGCCGGATGTGAATGTTTCTGCCGGATGTGAATGTTTCTGCCGGATGTGAATGTTTCTGATGGATGTGAATGTTTCTGATGGATGTGAATGTTTCTGATGGATGTGAATGTTTCTGCCGGATGTGAATGTTTCTGCCGGATGTGAATGTTTCTGCCGGATGTGAATGTTTCTGACGGATGTGAATGTTTCTGCCGGATGTGAATGTTTCTGCCGGATGTGAATGTTTCTGCCGGATGTGAATGTTTCTGCCGGATGTGAATGTTTCTGCCGGATGTGAATGTTTCTGCCGGATGTGAATGTTTCTGATGGATGTGAATGTTTCTGACGGATGTGAATGTTTCTGACGGATGTGAATGTTTCTGCTGGATGTGAATGTTTCTGACGGATGTGAATGTTTCTGCTGGATGTGAATGTTTCTGATGGATGTGAATGTTTCTGATGGATGTGAATGTTTCTGACGGATGTGAATGTTTCTGCTGGATGTGAATGTTTCTGACGGATGTGAATGTTTCTGCTGGATGTGAATGTTTCTGATGGATGTGAATGTTTCTGCTGGATGTGAATGTTTCTGCTGGATGTGAATGTTTCTGACGGATGTGAATGTTTCTGCCGGATGTGAATGTTTCTGCCGGATGTGAATGTTTCTGCCGGATGTGAATGTTTCTGCCGGATGTGAATGTTTCTGACGGATGTGAATGTTTCTGCCGGATGTGAATGTTTCTGCCGGATGTGAATGTTTCTGGTGGATGTGAATGTTTCTGGTGGATGTGAATGTTTCGGACGGATGTGAATGTTTCGGACGGATGTGAATGTTTCTGACGGATGTGAATGTTTCTGCCGGATGTGAATGTTTCTGCCGGATGTGAATGTTTCTGCCGGATGTGAATGTTTCTGACGGATGTGAATGTTTCTGCCGGATGTGAATGTTTCTGCCGGATGTGAATGTTTCTGCCGGATGTGAATGTTTCTGGTGGATGTGAATGTTTCTGCTGGATGTGAATGTTTCGGACGGATGTGAATGTTTCTGCCGGATGTGAATGTTTCTGACGGATGTGAATGTTTCTGCCGGATGTGAATGTTTCTGCTGGATGTGAATGTTTCTGACGGATGTGAATGTTTCTGACGGATGTGACTGACGGATGTGAATGTTTCTGCTGGATGTGAATGTCTCTGCTGGATGTGAATGTTTCTGCCGGATGTGAATGTTTCTGCCGGATGTGAATGTTTCTGCTGGATGTGAATGTTTCTGCTGGATGTGAATGTTTCTGCTGGATGTGAATGTTTCTGCTGGATGTGAATGTTTCTGCTGGATGTGAATGTTTCTGCCGGATGTGAATGTTTCTGCCGGATGTGAATGTTTCTGCTGGATGTGAATGTTTCTGCCGGATGTGAATGTTTCTGCTGGATGTGAATGTTTCTGCTGGATGTGAATGTTTCTGCTGGATGTGAATGTTTCTGGTGGATGTGAATGTTTCTGGTGGATGTGAATGTTTCTGCCGGATGTGAATGTTTCTGCTGGATGTGAATGTTTCTGCTGGATGTGAATGTTTCTGCCGGATGTGAATGTTTCTGCTGGATGTGAATGTTTCTGCTGGATGTGAATGTTTCTGCTGGATGTGAATGTTTCTGCTGGATGTGAATGTTTCTGCTGGATGTGAATGTTTCTGCTCGATGTGAATGTTTCTGCTGGATGTGAATGTTTCTGCTCGATGTGAATGTTTCTGACGGATGTGAATGTTTCTGCTCGATGTGAATGTTTCTGACGGATGTGAATGTTTCTGCCGGATGTGAATGTTTCTGCCGGATGTGAATGTTTCTGCTGGATGTGAATGTTTCTGCTGGATGTGAATGTTTCTGCTGGATGTGAATGTTTCGGACGGATGTGAATGTTTCTGACGGATGTGAATGTTTCTGACGGATGTGAATGTTTCTCACCACGCAGTGAACGCCGGCTCGGCTCCTGCAGGTGAAGTTTGCCGGTCGCCCGAAGGTGCAGTTGTGATGGAACGAGCAGGTGATGCAGTCGGACGGCAGTTTGATGCACAGGCCTCCACTGGGACACCTGGACGTGTAGTTCTCCGTCAGCACTGGAGACGCTGCACACACACACACACACACACACACACACACACACGTTTCAGTCTCACACTGCTGCTCGTCTGCATGAGGCAGTGTGTGAGAGGCTCACCTGAGGAGGTGTGTGTGTGTGTCTCACCTGAGGACGAGGTCAGGGCCGCTGGGCTGCTCATCACTGGGTTCTGCTGAGCCGTGAACGGAGGATCCTGACCAACATGAGCAGAACTCAGATACCCTGAGGAGAGAGAGACCACATCACCTGTGTGTGTGTCTGGAGGAGTTATGTGTGTGTTTCAGGCATGTGCAAATAAAATTTGTAGCCCATGGTAAAATAAATTTACAAATAAAAAATAATAATAAAGGTATTCAATAGCATTGTAACATTATGGTTGTTCTGTAAAATCTAATAATAATCATAATCATAAATTATTATTAATAGTCATGTTTTAATTTTTAGTACATAGTATTATTCCTTTTTTTATTTTTTATTGTTTTAGTTTTTATAATTAAATTAAATTATGTTATTGTGTAGTCCAACTGAATGAGGGAAAACTGATTTTTCTTCTGTTATTGTCCTTCGCTGATGACATGATTAAAGCGTCTCTTTAAATACAACAACATAATAGGCTACCCTGTAAGTGTGATTACCATATGAATAAACCCTAGTAATATTTACATGGTCCACATGACATCACTAATGTACTGTAACGTTACCAAACACACGGTTCTTCAGAACAACACCGCACTAATAGTTCCCGAGGCACTGTTTAACCATCTTACCGATCACACATTTGGAGTAAATGTCCAGCAGCAGCAGAACCAGCATCATATACGAGCTCATGATGTTCTGTCCGCGTTCAAAAACCCATTTCAGTCCGTTCGCTGTCATCCCGAACACTGGTTCTGTTCTGCTGCCCGACGGACGGACTCCACTTCCGCTTCCGCAAGAGTCCCAACGGCTGCTCGTTCAAAATAAAAGTCCGATAACGGAGGAAGAAAGATTGCTTTATTTATTCAATCTTTTTAGGGAGAATTTATATTTTTCTAACCAAGAGAAGGCATCCAGGCTTGTTAACTAGCCTAGCTGAAATCGAAATTAGAAGGGATAGTCCACCAAAAAATGTCATTAATCACTCTCCCTCACGTCAAACCCGTAAGACTTTTGTTCATTTTCGGAGCACAAATGAACATATTTTTAAAGAAATCTAAGAGCTTCATGTCCCTCCATTGACAGCTACGCAACTACCACTTTCATAAAAGTAATCCATTCGACTCCAGTGGTTTAACCTCAGTTTTATGAAGCGACGCGAGTGGCTTTGTTTGCGCACAATTTTTTTATTTTACCACTTTGTTTACAAAATATTAATCTCAAACGCTGCTCTCGTGAACGCGCGAAAGTTTAGTAATTAATGACATTAATTATTGGGTAAATTAACCCTTTAACTTATATTTTTTTATATTTTATTTTATTTCAAGCAGCAAAAATATTTCAGTTAACTATAATAACCCGTAGCATTGCGTGATTTATAATGGAGTAAAATGGCAAAGGGAATATTTAATTAATGATTTAATTCACTAATTAAAGATTCTGAATGCCTCAACATGGCATCAGACATTTTGATTATGTTTCTCAGAAACTGTACATGTGTGACAGAGATAAACTTCCAAAATAACAAACCACAAACATGATGCTGAATCTTTGAGAGTCTTTATTACACACTGTCAGCACTTGAACACAAACATCCAGACACTTTAACACCAAACCATCATATCATTCACACGGCCAGCGAACATCATCTTCCGAATGCCATCGCTCAGAGTAAACCGTGCCGTTTTCCTCCTTCATATTCCCATCTGTGGCCTTCGTCAGGGTTCGTGCAGATTCTGTAAAATGAAATTCCATTTTGACCTTTGAAGCTATATCTCAGACGGGCTGCAGCGTTCATTTTATGTGAAAAGATTGTGGGGGGGTTTTCCTAAAAAAATTAACACTAATTTCAAGCTCTTTTCATAAATATGATTTTTTTTTTCATAAATATGGCTGTTTTCAAGGGTTCTCAAGCTCTTGTACGAACCCTGTGGGACTCAGAAGTCTTCCTCAGCGCTGCGGCACCGGGACCGCTGGATCCGAGTCAGTCTGGCCATCACCTCCTCCACACACACTTCTCCGTGCACCTTGTTGTCTCTGGTGCGCACGTTCACACTGTTCGTGACACGCTCCTTCTCGCCCACCACTGCCACACACACACACACACACACACACACACACACACACACACACACACACACACACACACACACACACACACACACACACACACACACACACACACACACACACACACACACACACACACACACACACACACACACACACACACACACACACACACACACACACACACACACACACACACACACACACACACACACACACACACACACACACACATCAGTGTTGGGGAAAATTACTTTTAAAAGTAATGCAAAACAAAATTGCTTTACTCCCACCAAAAGGGTAACACTTTACTTGAGGGGGTGTGCATAAGACTGACATGACATGAATATTAATGAGATTTTATGCATGTTTATGACAACTGTCATTAAGTGTCATTCGCTCAATTATGACATTTTAAATGCAAATATGACATTGTTTGAGATGTCTTTGTTATGACACCTTGACATAAACCAATACATCATAACCTGTCAGTGTCTTTGTCATGACAACATGTCATGACATTACTAAGACAACACAACCTGTCATAAATGCGTCATAAACATGACATAGCAGATTAGTTATCAAACTTAAGAAAGCACTTAGCTTTATGGGTTAACATTACATTAAACTGTCATGTGGTTGGTGTTGACATTGGCTGTCATGAGGCATTATAACATGTTAATGACAAACTCAATGTGTACCACTGTAGTTGAGCTCAAGAAAAATATTCACGACACAGCAGTGGCGTAGGTTTGATTTTGAAATTGGTGGGGACGGGGACATCAATATATAAATATATTTTAAGTTTTGATCGAAATTATTGCTAGGGATATAACAGTGTCACTGGATATTGGTAGGGACACGTCCCTAGTGTCCCTACTAAATTCTACGCCCCTGCGACACAGTTATAATGCCTCATGACAGCCAATGTCAAAACCAACCGCCTGACAGTTTAATGTAATGTTAACCCATAAAGCTAAGTGCTTTCTTAAGTTTGATAACTAATCTGCTATGTCATGTTTATAACATATTTATGACAGGTTGTGTTGTCTTAGTAATGTCAAGTTGTCATGACAAAGACATCTCAAACAATGTCATATTTGCATTAAAAATGTCATAATTGAGCAAATGATACTTAATGACAGTTGTCATAAACATGCATAAAAGCTCCTTCACATGTGTCATGTCATGATTATGAAGGTGTCATGTCAGTCTTATGCACACCCCTTCAAGTAAAGTGTTACAAAGTAACTAACTGCATTACTTAGTTACTTTTTATGAAAAGTAATGCATTACAATATTGTGAAATAAAAGTGAAAAAGTAACTAGCGTTACTTATTTGAAAAAGTAACTTAGATATTTTGTTGTAAATTACTTTACTAGTCACTTGAAAAAGTAATCTGCTTATGTAACTCAAGTTACTTGTAATGAGTTCCCCCCAACACTGCGTGTCAGTGTCGGAAACTCCCTCGTCAGGCCTCACGTCTTACCCAGGATGAAGTTGTACTGCGCCAGCTGTGCGTTGCGGATTTTCTTGTTCAGAAGGCAACTGGAATCCAAATCAGCATCGGCCATAAAACCGGCTTCAACAAACCGTTTACAGACCTGGAGCGGGACCAAGATCAACTTTAGTTTATAAACTCTCTCAATTCGGACCTTTTTTTCCGCAATCGTAGATTATTTCTCGCAATTCTGACCTTTTTCTCGTAATCGTAGTTTATTTCTTGCAATTCGGACTTTCTCGTAATCGTAGGTTATTTCTTGCAATTTGGACTTTTTTCTCGCAATCGTAGTTTATTTCTTTAAATTTAGACTTTCTCGTAATTGTAGGTTATTTCTCGCAATTCTGACCTTTTTTTTGTAATCGTAGTTTATTTCTTGCAATTCGGACTTTCTCGTAATTGTAGGTTATTTCTTGCAATTCGGACTTTCTCGTAATCGTAGTTTATTTCTCGCAATTCTGACTTTTTTCCTTGCAATTCTGACTTTATTCTCCCAATCATAATTTATTTCTCACAATTCTGACTTTTTCTCGTAATTGTAGTTTAATTTCTCGCAATTCTAACTTTTTTCTCGTAATCGTAGTTTATTTCTTGCAATTCTGACTTTTTTCCTTGCAATTCTGACTTTATTCTCCCAATCATAGTTTATTTCTCGCAATTCTGACTTTTTTCTCGTCAATCAGTTTATTTCTTGCAATTCGGACTTTTTTCTCGTAATCGTAGTTTATTTCTTGCAATTTGGACTTTTTTCTCGTAATCGTAGTTTATTTCTTGCAATTCTGACTTTATTCTCCCAATCATAGTTTATTTCTTGCAATTCTGACTTTTTTCTTGTTAATCAGTTTATTTTTTGCAATTCTGACTTTTTCTCGTAATCGTAGTTTATTTCTTGCAATTCTGACTTTTTTCTCGTAATCGTAGTTTATTTCTCGCAATTCTGACTTTTTTCTCGTAATCGTAGTTTATTTCTTGCAATTCTGACTTTATTCTCCCAATCATAGTTTATTTCTTGCAATTCTGACTTTTTTCTTGTTAATCAGTTTATTTTTTGCAATTCTGACTTTTTTCTCGTAATCATAGTTTATTTCTTGCAATTCTGACTTTTTTCTCGTAATCGTAGTTTATTTCTTGCAATTCTGACTTTTTTCTCGTAATCGTAGTTTATTTCTTGCAATTCTGACTTTTTTCTCGTAATCATAGTTTATTTCTCGCAATTCTGACTTTTTTCTCGTAATCGTAGTTTATTTCTTGCAATTCTGACTTTTTTCTCGTAATCGTAGTTTATTTCTCGCAATTCTGACTTTTTTCTCGTAATCGTAGTTTATTTCTCGCAATTCTGACTTTTTTCTCATAATCGTAGTTTAATTCTTGCAATTCTGACTTTTTCCTGGCAATTCTGACTTTATTCTCCCAATCATAGTTTATTTCTTGCAATTCTGACTTTTTTCTCGCAATTCTGACTTTATTCTCCCAATCATAGTTTATTTCTTGCAATTCTGACTTTTTTCTCGCAATTCTGACTTTATTCTCCCAATCATAGTGTAAGGCTGGTGCCGGTGTGTCTGATCGACCCCTCAATGTGACAAAAGGCCCTCCTGGGAATTTACACTTGAACTATCCCTTGAATATGTAACTCCCTCCTGCATATGTAACAGGAACTTTGGAGACGCAGCACACAGTGCAGTTCACACTTCACCCACACCATCTCCCCCACATCCCCCTCCTCACCTGAAATACACTGAAACCTTATGCAATGTTATGTGTGTACAAAAATGTAACTACTCATGTTTGGTATCTTATAATGTGTCACAATGCGCCTGGTGACATGGTCTCATTCTCCCAACTATGATGAAAAGCTAAAAGAAGTTATGAAATGTGAGAAAAGTGATGTGTCCCATAATAGCCTCATTCAAACTACCTCCTGTATGTAAAATCAAGCAGAACTCACAGTGTGAGCCCCTGAATAGACAACCAAAATCTAATTATAATGACAGACATCACCATTTGGTAACAATTTAATTATCTGGGTATATAAGGAAAAAGAGCAGAAAAGTTCGGGGAGTCTGTAGGTTGACTGCCCGCACAACCGCTGTGTGTAACTCTATTGACAGGTAATAATTATTACAAATTCTGTGATTTCGGAATCATTGTGATGAAATGTTTTAACTGACGATCTTATCCTTTTGAATTGGATTTTGAATTATTGCTTCATTACCTGATCAATAAAT